GCGGTAATCCGTACTTTTCTGCTTGGATGAAACAGACTTTAAACATTTTTCCTTTTTCTTTCAAATTTGAACTTTAACATTGAAATTGCACTAACTGATTACTGGAATACAAAAAAATAGCATATGTTTTTGTTAAAGTGCGTCCTAATCCCTCGGGTCTTCGTCCTCAACTACTGCACCCTCGGAATTAAAACGCAACCCCGGAGTATATAATATACAATGAAGCACGACCAACCTTAGTCGCTGATTTGCTTTCTTCTTTTTGCACCGTTTAAATAAAAGCTGAGGTACTAAATCAATTCCTACGTACTTCTCAAATATGCCAATTCCGCATTTTTGACCGTATCGAATGATGTCACGTGTATTCAGTGGTTTGGAGTAGATTAGACCAATTAAGATACCCATTTTGGCTCTAGTTACTGCGATATCTCGTCTTCAGACATCTAGAACCTATAGTCCAGTAAAAGTAGACATTGACCCAGAAATTTGAAAAAACAAGCTGAAAATTGGCATACATGGTGAGGATGGTGTTAGAACTAAATCCTGAAAAGTCCCAAAAGATCCCAGTTGGGGAACGGACAACGGACGCCATCTTGGAAAAACTACCCCTAAATTTGATTTTCGGATTTTTGAGCATAACAAATGAACGGATGGTCCAAATTTCGTCGTCAAAGTGTCAAAATGGTTGTTTTGAGTGAAATAATTATTCCGTATAATACGATATCCTTGCAAATGTGACCGTTTTCAAAAACCACCCCCATCATGGGTTTCTCTCTTTTCCGGCTATTGTTGTTAAATAAAGCTTCGGATAATTAGTATTGATGTTTCTAATCGTTCTTCTTCACGTTCTCTATCTGAATGTCAAAATTTCTGTTAAAAAAACCTTCAGAGTTCAGAACAAGATTGAGAGTACTAACTAAATGAACACTATTTTATTCATTATTATTTGCAGTCAGGTTAAGTTGCACGTAAAAAATATTTAAATGCATTTTACAATTAATGTAAATGAGCGGAATCCTTTCAACTATTCGCACATAACTAAAAAAACGGCGTGAAAATAATCAATCCATACGCAGGTTTTAAACTGGAAACATTCCGAGACCGAACGACAACACAATGACGAAAATCTATACTATGAGTAAAAATCAGACACCGATCTACTCTTACAAAAGTAACCGTTACACCTGAACGCACGGTATCGAAACGTAATATAAATTTGGGTGTTTCGTTACTAAGAAACCGTAGCTTCCAGATTTATTTATTTCTTTTAGGAATTGGAAACAGAAGGTGATTTAACTTCTAGCACCCTTTTAGCTGCCGATGAAGAAACCAGTTTCCGTAATCGTATTACATAAACACTTTCTAAGATAACCGCTCCTTTTGCTATTTAGGTAGTAAGGTTACACAAGATAATCGTTGCAAGGAAGATATAAAATCCAGGATAGCGCAGGGTAAAAAAGCATTGGCATAAAAGTAGGACCTGCTAAGATCCGAGATAAATTTAGGAATTAGGAAAAGATTGCTAAAAACGTACAAATGGAGTGTAGGTCATACAGGTGCGAAACCTGGACGATAGGCAGGCAGAAGTAGGATAGAATGAGGATTAGCTGAATGGATAGCGTAACAAACGAAACAGTATTGGAGCTAGTACAGGAAATAGGGAAATATGAAAAACCGTACCGAGAAGACGAGATAGAATGATAGCGAACGTGCTAAGACACGGAGGAATAGCACTACTAGCTATAGAAGGTAGAGTCGAGGGCAAGAGATGGGTAGGACCACAGAGACTTAAATACATAGACCAAATAGTTAGGGACGTAGGCAAGGGTAGTTATGTAGAACTGAAAAGATTAGCGCAGGATAGGAAAAGGTGGAGGACTGCGTCCAACCAAGCCTAGGATTGCGCAAACAAAACAGCAAATGCCGAAAACGTGAAAAATCCAGGTTGGGGGTGATTGTCCTAAAAAGCTCGAATTTTCAAGGGCTTCTTTATGTGCGGAATTATGTTTTTACTCCAAATACACATTAAAACAAACATTTTGACACCTTAGCAACGAGAATCAGACCATTGGTTCATTGGTTTTGCTCAAAACTCGAGAAATCGAGTTTTTTTAAGATGGCGTCCGTTCCCCAACCGGGATCTTTTGGGACTTTTCGGAAATTGGTTCTGGTACTATCTTGAACATGTCAGCCAATTTTCAGCTTGTTTTTTCAAATTTCCGGGTTTGGCCCTTATTTTGTCTAATTTTACTGGACTACTACGAGTATTATGAAAACAATACTCTACAGAAATTAAAAGGCGCAGAAAGGACAATCTTCAATTCAACCAAACGCTTACAGATTTGTTCTTGAAATTCCATTGGGCACATAATTTATTGGAAAGAGGACTCCCGATGTTACGAGAACCACACAGGAGATTAACCAAAGGGATTAGGGAAGAAACCAACACATACATAAGGGAGAACCAGGAAAAATTCTACCCACAACCGATAGGGAACGTAGTGGAGTTAGGATCCCGGTATGATCAATATGCCAATAATGAGGAGAAGGTCGAAGCATACCTCAGGTATCATGGAAAAGACGGATTCTGGGGAGGACACAAGGAACACCGAAGAACTAGGGTGTTGGGGAATACGAGGAAGCGAGTGGAGCCGCCGTCCCTAACGAATATAGTCTGAACGTGGTATTCGGGAGGAGGATAAACAGGATAGCAGCCAGGACGCACAAGGAGGCAACAGCATGAGGGTAGCCACGTGGAACGACCAAAAAAAAGGGATGGCCGCGACAAGGACTGGTGGATAAGAGAAGGGAAGATGGAGAAAACCAGCAGAGGCACAGAAATCGTGATCAGAAAACACGGAGGCACATAATAAGGACCGAATCAAAAGAAATAAGCATCACGAACACAGTAGAAGTTTGAGCCAGAACAGTAGAATCGGACCACAAAATGATAAGGGGGAAAGTAAGGGGCGAAAAAGATGTAAAGAATTGGGAACAATGCGGGAGAACTGAATGGTGGAATATGAAGCCGGAAGCAGCAGGGAAAACACTTGGGGGACATAAAGCGCCCATGTCACCGAACAGGTAGTACGCCATGGACAACCACAGAGGATCACTGAAGAGGTTTGGACAAAACCCACACAAACTTGAAGCAAAAAACGAGCTAAGGGAGGCCGAAGAAGAGAGAAACGGCCTTTGAACAAGATGAGATCAAGGAATTCGCCGAGTTTGCAGAGCACATCGCCAATCTTAACTCAATGGAGAGGAATTCGTAAATATATAAGCACATCAAAGAACAGGAGAAAACAAGGAGGAACCAAAAAAGATGTACCAATGATAGAATGAGAGAAGCTCTTGAAGGAGGAGAACGTCGCTCCTCACTATGGAAGAAATGATGGAGATATTAGGAAAACTGAAAAAGGGGAAAATTCCAGGGCAGGATAGGGTCCAGGCCGAATTGCTACAATACGCATGAGAATGCCTAATAAAGGGTCTACATGAATTAATTCAGGAGGTATGGACCAGGAACTTGGTCCCAAAAGAATGGCAGCAGACAGTACAGATCCCCATCCCAAAATTCAGGTCACCACAAGAAACAGACGACTACAGGAGGATGTCGCTATGCAGTGCGGGGTACAAGATATACGCAATCTACCTACTACAGTGCCCAGAGGGCCACACATCCAAGACACCAGTATACCAAGCAAGTTTCATAAAAGGCAGACCATATATTCACGACCAGGAGGATTGTAGACAAACACTGGAGGGCAGAAACCAAACTATGGCTTCTAGAAATAGACTGGCCAAGTGAAGCATGGAGCAATAGCCACCTCTCTGAGGCTGCTGGGACTGACCAAATTCCTAACCAATAGAGTTATAAACGCGTGCCTAAGGGAATATGCTAGCTAGTATACAATGGTTTGGGAAAAAGACCGAGCACCAAATGAAAATCAGAGGAATTAAACAAGGTTGTCCCCTATCCCCACTGGATAACGCCTCTGGGGATTCCCATAGAGAGATGGGAAGAGTGGAGCAGGGACAAACACAAAATGAAGAAAGTAAGTAGACGAGTACTGGAGGTGGAGGAAGAGCACAAGCAACCAAGAGGAGTAGGAGGAGGAGGAGACAGTAGGGGGGACAGGGGGAAACAAGAAAGAAGGAAATGAGATCAAAGAATGGAGACATCGGAAACTAATGGAACGAAGGGGGAGAGGCTATCACCAGGAAGCAGAGTTCCCTCTAATGCTTTTTAATCCTTTCGGGTCGGACAACACCCAGTTAGCCCCCCTCCCCCCCCACAACAACCCCAATCCAAAAAATCCACCACACTGTTTGACGTATGTCGCTGCCCAGCGCAATGGCAACAAAAGTGGTGAAGATGCGCCCCTGTTAGTCCCTACCAGGAACACATCCCCACGACTGTTGAGTAAATTCTAGGAGAGGCGGCTACGTCAGGCATATGCCAAAGTATCAAGTATCAATGTCGACACCCTATAAATTTGCTGTGATATGTAATTTCTTAAGATGCGAGCGACTTCCGGCGTCAACGTTTCGCTCACTTTCATAAGGCGCTTTGTCAGGACAAGAAACAAAACAGTCGCTTTACCGAATAAATAAATTCAAATTAGAGCTACACTTTTTTTGACAAACTACATCTACGCCGGACATGGTTAAAGGAAACCCCTTTCCATAAAGACATTCCAAATGGGGAAACTCCCAGTAATTGAATAAATTTGTTATAATTCGTCTGGAACCGTATCGACCCTTTCTTCAGATTTACATAGCTTACCTCCTTACATAATTTCTGACTTTTAAAATCTCCTAAAATAACCGAAATAAACCCCTCTTCATATGCATTAGATGTTTAATTGCATTGCACACGATGAACGATTGTAGAGAATGTTTTCTAGATTGCATGTTTGAATGACTGTTTCGGTATTTAGGAAAAATTCAAGCGACTTGTACTTGTATGTAACTACTTTGGATGACTTTCTTTATAGGAAAGGTAGACGAAAAGGCCACTCAGCTGCACGCGATCGCATCCCTTAAGGTACTCCTGGATGCAACAAAGCCACATAATGGAGCTGCAACTAGTTCAGCTGCCAACCACGTTAGTGCCGTTAAACAAGAAACAATGTTAGCACCTAGTAATATTGCGGATATGCCGAACGGAGTCGCTAACGTTTTAACAGATATTAATCTGGAGACGGTGAGTTATTTGTTCCAATATTGTTCGTATTTTATTCACTACGTTAGTTTTATACGAATCTCATTAGATGGTCGACAGTTCCCCGTTTAAATAAATTTAGAAAATCAGCTCAATATCCCATTGCCAAGAATGCTCTGTAGCGCTAGAATATTCGATTTCGAATTGCAATCTCGTACAAAGTGTGCATATATTTATGACTCAATCACCTAATGAGATTATCTGGCATAATAAGTAGCTTTCTTGCTGAAATTTCGAATGTTCTCCATTCGAGCGGTAGCAGAGACGGTGTAGGAAAAATAAAGGAATTTTACATCATAAAGCAAGAGATGGATAAAATAATTTATGGAAAGTCGTTTGTTTTTGCGCCTCTTGCTTTGAAACTGTATTTTGGCATTAATTTACTCGCAGAACGAGTTTTTCTGAGACAGACTAAAATCAATTACAAAGTTTCAGAGAGCACCAAAAAGAACGAGTTTTATATCGCTCAAATCCAAATCTATATTTTAGTCAATCGATTTAGACTCAATTTTTACATATCTTCCCGTTTCAGTCCACTCCCGGTATCTTGATGGGCCGTACTTAGGCAAAACAAAATGAAACTTCACCGTTAGGATAATAAGCTCATTTATTAGATTCTTTCTCGATATGCTTCGAGTTTGATTAATCGCCGCCTTTGAATTACATGCCCATCTACATATTTCGAAAGCTCCCTTTTTGTAAATCACGATTACCACATTTATCAATTTTATGGCCTCTTCTTCGCTGTTTACACTATCTAAATAAACGTCCACGTATAATGAAGATTGATTATGACTCCCAATCGCTTGCCCTAATCTGATGCAGTCTTACTTTTTGTATCGGAGGATGGCTTGGATAGGGACTTCTGCGTTAAATTTGAAACTTTAGGCTTTGGATTTTAAACTTCGTCAGGCTTTAAAAGCAATATTTCAAATGTCTAACTTTATACCAACAAGTAAAAGCTTTAAGCTTTAAGGGAACGATTTTCAAAAGAGTGTCAAGCTTCACATGTAAGTTGCAAACATGCCATTTAAAATAGCAGTCTTAAAACTCCCGAATTACTCTGTAAGCTTTAAGTATCATATGTCAAACTTCTAGGTCTAAATTTCAAGATTTAACTGACAAGTTTCAGATGTATTTTGTTAACTTGTATCTTGAACAGTACGCACCCTATTTTTTGACTTTTGAACATTGAAGGTTTCAGTTCAGAATATCTGTCCAGTAACCAGTACATTGTTCTGTATCTGCGAATGCACATTTCACCACTCTCAATCTTTCTGTCAGTGAAGCTTGTGCGCGATACGCCACTTCTTAGTATACAGTGAGTCCAAGATAAGAATGGACAGCGTGGGGAAACCGGAAACCATAAGAGATACACAGTCAGTTAACTTAGAAAAAAGTTGTGTATTTCAGGGCTTAGTAAAACGATGTTTTTAAAATACGGAAATTCTGATTCGTTCCGAAGATGTTCGGAAAAACCGAAATTAACTTTTTCATTTTTTTCTGGCCCTGTTCAAAAAGATATCAAAGAAATTCCTCGTGTGAACTTTTTAACCTCTACAAAATGGTGTCCACAGATTTTTACTGCAACGTTTCGTCTTTGACATACCATCATCAACTTCATATTTTTATATGAACCAGGACAAACGTCCATACTGTATTGAGTAGCATTTCTTCTTACGAATACAACGATGTATGGCAAAATATGATTCTTTATTGTCATTTAAAGGTCCATCGAATTGTACAATCTATGAAAAATGCTACTTAATACAGTGGGTATGTACTTTTTTCCCGGTTCATATAAAAATATGCAGTTGATGGTGGTTTTTCAAAGACGAAACGTCGCGGTGAAAATCTGTGGACACTTATAGAACTTGAAAAGTTCTTATGAGGGAGTATTAATTATTTGTTTTATGATATCTTTTCAAGCAGGTTTAGAAAGAAATAAAACGGAACGAACAGGTGTCAAGTTAGACCCCCCCTTTTAAAATATTCAGGATATTTTTGTTGCGGTCGTTTGTTGGTGTTTGTTAGTTACATTTCACTCCGAAACTAACAAAATTTATTCTGAAGATGCTATCAACCAACAAACGGTAAAGAATACCCAAAAAACACAAACAAACCACCAAAAAACCATTACAACTAACAAAAATTAAATATTGCAACTTGTGAGGGCTAACTATACGCCCAAATTTTTGAATGTTGAACGAACAACCAACAGACGTCAAAATGTAACTAACAAACACCAACAAATGTCCCACAAACGATTGCAATAAAAATATTCTGAAAATTCGAAAGGGGGGGGGGGGGGCAAACTATACGCCCCAATTTTCAAATTTGAACAATTAAATAACGGTCAACCAACAAACGCCAAAATGTAACTAACAACTAACAAACACCAACAAACCACTCACAAACGATTACAATAAAAGTATTTTAAAAATTCAAAAAGTGGGGGGCTAACTATTCGCCCAAATTTTTAAATTTGAACAATTAAATAACGGTCATCCAACAAACTAAAAATGTAAGTAACAAATACCAACAAACGACCAACAAACGATTGCAATAAAAATATTCTGAAAATTCCAAAAGTGGGGGGCTAACTATATGCCCAAATGTTCAAATTAGAACAATTAAATAACAGTCAACCAACAAACGTCAAGACTAACAAACACCAACAAACCACCAACAAACGATTGCAATAAAAATATTTTAAAAATTCAAAAAGTGGGGGGCTAACTATACGCCCAAATTTTGAATTTTGAACAATTAAATAACGGTCAACCAACAAACTCAAAATGTAACTAACAAACACCAACAAACGACCAACATATTATGCATGTTGATTGGTGTGAAGAAGTTTTTTCTTAAGGAACTCTTCCCTGACTATTCTCTCCATTGTTTAAGGGTTGAAGGACGATAGGTTGATAGGTCGGTAGCTCTTGGGTTGGTGTCTGCCTTAAGATAAAAAAAATTCTACAATTCTACCAGAATCGGCGTTATTGTCTGATCCCTTTTATAAGGAGGGGGAGAATTCCATCTCTTCCAGCCGATTTATAAGGGTTGTGGCAGCCTATAACCGAACGACCCCTGTTTGGCGTGAATATTATGACCACTCATAGTCAAATGTGTTGCCATTGCGGGAAGATGGAGCCTATCTGATATCCTCCGTCTGCTCAATGGAACACGGAAAGTGGGTCGGAATCAAAAGCTGCAAAGTCTCTCTAGTTAAGGGTTGTTCTCTTTTCTCCTATATTCATCCCAACACCTAGTGCGCTGGGCTTTGTTAAAAACTCTTCTGGTAGCTTTCCTGAACTTTCCTAGCTCATTATTCCACCAAGGAGTGTTCCTATTTAGAGGAGGAGGAGGAGGAAGGGCATCAGTGAGCAGTGTAGCAGAGCCGTTCTAGATCAACTTGATCCACAACCCTCCTCAAGGGTTCAGCGGTGTTGCTTTTCAATAACTCCTCGCATAGTGCCCAATCTGTTGTACGAAGATCTCGGTATGAATATTCGGTTCGTCCCTCTACCTTACTAAAGCAGATTTTTCTGATAGAGAGAGAGAGACCATCCATCCCACTTAGGGAATGCAATACCGGGATCGCGGGATCCCGAAATACCGGGATCCCGCAGCATTTTTGCGGATTAATCCCGCGCATAAATGGAGCGGGATCCCGCGGGATTTGCGGGATTGTTAAACTTTTTTCGTTAAAATGTACTATGATTTTTGAGGCACTTTAGAAGTTCACCTTTTTATGCTTTACAGGTGAGATTTTTTTGAGCTCTATGTTAGGCTGAAGGTACTTTTTTGTTAAATATTGTGATAATTAGCGATTTATTTTGATACAGAAGTTAACCGCACAGAATAGCTTATTTGGCAATTTATTTAAAGTTTTGCGGGATCACGCAAATACCGGGATCCCGCGGGATTAACATCTAACAATCCTGCAAATACCGGGATTGAGATTTTGCTGCGGGATTGCATTCCCTATCTGAGACAATTTTTTTTCGGGGCAAAAAAAACCTTCCTTTTTTACCAAAAATCTACTACACCAAAATTTCTCGGGAAAACACTTTTTCGTATTAATTTTGGTGCGTAGAATCCAAAACAATTCGTACTTTTTCGATTAGACTTCTCAATCTAAAGTTATAGACTAGAAACCAATTTCGAAATTCAAAGGGCTGTAACTTTNTTTGCGGGATCGCGCAAATACCGGGATCCCGCGGTATTAACATCTAACAATCCCGCAAATACCGGGATTGAGATTTTGCTGCGGGATTGCATTCCCTATCTGAGACAATTTTTTTTCGGGGCAAAAAAAACCTTCCTTTTTTACCAAAAATCTACTACACCAAAATTTCTCGGGAAAACACTTTTTCGTATTAATTTTGGTGCGTAGAATCCAAAACAATTCGTACTTTTTCGATTAGACTTCTCAATCTAAAGTTATAGACTAGAAACCAATTTCGAAAGAAAATTCAAAAGGCTGTAACTTTCGAACTAGTAGCCCAATCTTGGAACTGTTTGAAATTATGGATTCTACAGGCCACATTCTATAAGAAAATGTTTTTTTCCCGGTCGATCTGAGAAAGTTTTTTTTCGGGGCAAAAAAGGTCTTCCTTTTTTACAAAAAATCGACTACACCAAAATTTCTCGGGAAAACACTTTTTCGTATTAATTTTGGTGAGTAGAATCGAAAACAATTCGTACTTGTCCCCAAATTATTGAGATGACACTAACATTAAAGCAGCACCTTCCGAAAGTGTGTCTTTACAGGATAGGGTGGTAGAGCACAAAGCCTGAAATAAAAATAATAGGACATAAAATATCCGAAAAATTGTCTTCCAGGATTTCAAAGACAAGGAACATTTGTATTAAATTATCAAGAAACATATCATACCTGAAGGCTCTACTCTAAAAAACCAACCCCATTGAATATTCCTACTTCTCGAACACATATTTGACATACGCGTTTTCAGGCA